CTTCACCTAGCCTTCTATTTTCTTTCTAACATCAAATTCACCTGCTACGCTGGTGAGTATTCTGATACAGTTTGGTATTTAGAACACCTAAGAAAATCCAGGGCTGAATAACAGTGTGATGCACTGCGGGATCTCATTTCTGTCACTCCTTCACTTCAACCCCACTCTCCCTTTTGCAGTTTCTAGTCACATACTTTCCTTCAAACTGACCTTGAATTCGACAGTCAACTCCAACAGCAAACCAGATTTACAAATATGATTAGGGTATGAGAACAGGATACATCAGAGAGACCTTCCCCAACCAGACCCAGTCAATCACGCTACACAACACACATCCACGGACGTAATTTCCACTTTCGTGACACTGAATAAACGAACCGACCCACGCCCCTACGTACAGAGGAGAGAAGACAGCGCCCTCTACTGGGCCAGACAACGCAGCTCCTCCCGTCCTTCCCCCCACACTCCCCAGAACAGACTTGGGCGTATTTAACTCTCCAGTAATTTTTTTTTTTTTTTTTTTTTAAATCCAATCCACAAGTTGGTATCCAGTTGTTTTGATTGCTCTGCAATTGCAGGAATTGGCCTACAGAAACCACATTTCTGTAGTTTCTACATTTAAAAGCACAGAGAAGAAAACTCTTCCCACAGGCCTGTGTCAGAGCCTGACGAAGTAAGACCCCGTCTGTAAGATGGCCCTTACGTCAGTGTCTGCTGTCAGCCCAGGTCTGGGAAGAGACGGAGTTCAGCAGTGTTATTCACAGTATGCATTTAACACCTGGCTTTTCTTAAGGCTATTCAGTCAAACTCTTTCTTGTACATCCACGCCTCAAGAGATAGCCCTTACCTTGTTTAAGGGAACGGCTGCAGCTTTCCACCCGCGTGAGGCTTCACCACAATGGCAGCTGCATGCAATTGCTCGCATGCAGAACAAAGAGTGATGAACTATCAGAGCACAGGTAGACAGCAGACAACGGCACAAGTGAAAGGCAATGATCTGGATTTCAATTGCTTGTATTAGAATCTCCTAGGAAAAAGACCATCTTTTTCCTTTCTCAGTCATCCTATCTGAAACACAAGGCTAGAAGTAACACCTTTCATTCATACAGCATTACTGGTTTTCTTTCTGTAGATCTCAAAACACTCACAAAAGTGGGTAAGAACCGTCCACTCAGTGTAACAACCCAGCCTGCACCAATTCCTGCCAAAGGCACTGCCAGGTCAACAGGCAAACCGCAAATCTGCGACCTCTTGAATCACAAAGTTCTTCTTAGTTTTGCTACAAGTTTCCACAGCAAACATTTGCAAAATAAAAGCATGCTGCATCCAAGCTGTTTGCCTCTAAAAGCAGAAGTTAGCGATACTGCTTCTTTGGAGGTAACAGTAAAAACTGCCACTGAGGAGAAAGTGTCATACCTGGAGATCTGTTCAAGCTTTCCATTTAGAGCAGATGGGGCTAAAAATCATGACCTGGGCCCGCCATGCTTAGAGCTGGCAGGCACTCACTGGTCGTGCAACCAAGTAACTCCTCCAACACAACATGTGTTTCTTTTCACTTTTCAAAAAGATCTCTGAGTTGAACCAGCAGCAAAACTAGTTTTTTCATCACCTTGACTTTCACCATCTGACAGTTTCTTTAACATTGCATGATATCTGTCCTTGAACTTCCTACAAGTACCAGACCATATTTGTTCAACCTTTTACAGCACAGTAAGTTTTTGGAGCTTTTTTTGGGTTGAGATGTTTAATGGCAGAAAAAGGGATGGTGAAAAATCATATAACGCTTTTAAAAACAGAGAGATCACACTCTCAAAGTAACATTTATATCACTTTAAATCTACATTTAAAATTACGTTAGTGGCAAACTTCCTACTCTGTTCAAAAATATTTTTCCAAATAAATTTGATGAACAGTAACCAAAGCACATCTATACCTATGTGCCCTGAAAACATACCCTTGTTACTATCAATTCTCTCAGTAGACACATTTCCACCTTCCAAAAACATCAATAATCACATCTTCTGATGAAAAAATAAACAACACAGTTTATTTCAAAATTATTCACAAATTGAGTAAAGCACAGAGCTGAAAAAGCCTCCATTTGACAGGCAGTAACCTGTAAGAAACAGACCTCTGCTAAAATTGAGACACAGACACAGATGCTGTGGTAAAAATTAAAGAGCACTACAGATCCAGCTTATGGACAGGCTCTTCACGAGCGCTCTTAATGCACAAATTTTGATAGCACAACTACAGGCATGGAGAGATTCTGGAAACCTCATTACCATCACTGATCTGGATGGACAAAAGCAATAACCTCCTCTTCTAATCCTACTTTCATTCTACAACAATTGCTCAGCGTTCACGTTTAACTAGGGAAGAAGAAAGCGAAGCAGAAGCAAACATAGGGCATCTAAACCATACCCGGCTCTGAGTGACAAGGACAAGCAGCAGAGAGTGAAACAGGATGTCTTTTAACAACAGATCGCAGCCTGGTCTAGACTAATGTAGAGGATGCCTTCCATGCTCTGCCTGTTCCATGAACCAACAAACTTTGGCCCTACAGACCTTTTAATCAGAAAATGTCATTAACATGGGTGCAGCCCAGGAGCAGCTCAGGTCAACGGTGACTAAAATTCATGTGGTTTTTAGCTACCCTTCAGCAGTAGTACTGCCATGAGTTTCAATGACTGGGAAAGGTTTACGTATAGTGCTGATGAGGGCTGAAGACATGCTTGGAAAAGGATGGGTATTCACTGTTCAATAAACCTTGTTCCTCTATGTGTCTTCTCCTCATGAGTTCCCTCTGTGAGAGTCCCAAAGGTGTCTGAGTTCTTTTCTAACACAGAATTCCAAAGGAGCAGGAAACATATGCAGACAACACAATCCATTGCAATATAAAGCAGCCATTCTCACTGAAAAAAAAGGCCAAACAAAATTGCCCACTTATCATCTGGAATAGAAACAAGCAGCTGTCTCATGGTTTGGAGATGCTATGAGCCCTTCTTAAACAGTAACTGGACAGCCCTAATCAAACTGGTATTTCATGTAAAAGCTCTTGAGAAACAACAGCATCACCATGCCCTAAATCAATGATAACTTCATCTAGAAGTTACATAAGGAGAAACAGAATATACATAAATTCTAGACAGGTATGTTCTCATTGAAAGTAAGTGAAGGTAAACTGGCTATCTTGTTATCTGTATTAATACTGACAGAAACCAACTGCTGGGAACTGCTGGGAAAACAGCACTCAGACTTTCCTTCCATCAGCAAAACTGCAAACACTCCGTGTGCCAGTGAATGATTTTGCATTGCGAAGGCAGCCAGAGCCTGTACTGCAGGCAAACCCTTGGCTGACCTCATCTGTTCCTGGAGCACAGGCTTTGCTGTCAAAGACAAATCCCAGCATTATTGTCTTCTGCAGCTCCTCAACAGTCAGTTCTTTGCTCTTGGAACTCACCACCCACACAGGCTGGAAGGATTCACTTGCAAAGCTTTACAGGTCCCCTTGTGATGAGTGTCTCACACTCCCAGTTAAGTTTGTTCTCTGCACAGGTTCTCTACTCTCTCCTTACTGAAGCAAACTGCAAAAGCACCTTTCCCCTTCAGCCCAACACCCACAACTGTAGCTGCCAGAGATGATCATTACTGCAGAGAGCACGTGTAGTTTCTATACTCAGTGGTGAGCGCAGAAAATCTGTGCTGGCACTGCTGGTTTTGGTGCTCCACAAAGGAGCAACTTCTACTCAGAGAGCTATATTGAATTACAGCAACGATCGTTATTTGACTTAGTGGATTCTGATTCTCTAGTACTAAATATAATTTTCATGGTTGCTCAAGTAGAAGGAGTTTCACAGCTCTTGATCTTTGGAGACATGACAGCCTGAACATCTGTTGGGTGTTTGCCCTTCTCCAAAGCAGATTAGACATCTGATGTAACCCTGGATTAAAAATTTCAAGACCACTAAATAAGGACCTTTTACAGTTTCTCACTATGATAACTGACACAAAGCACCAGACTCCAATGTTTTTGACAGCTCTTTTGACTTTTGCTCTTTTACTTTTCTGGAAAAAGCAAGATGAGGACGAAAAAATCAGAGGGAAAGATCAAAAAGTAAAGAAACTCATTCGGAAGGTGGAAGCCTAACACTCAGCCCCTGCTCCCTGCCTTCCCCCCAAAATAATCCTAGGTTAGACTAGCAAAATAGGACCTCATCAGCTGCAAGTGTTCTTCCTTTTCTTCCCTAGCACAGAAGACAGAAAGTATTTGGACTGCCCCTGTAGACAATGACACCCAGAAGGATTCTTATTTCATATGCATGAGATACACGCACCTCCACTGAGACTGAGACACACACTTGAAAAAGAATCTTGTTTACTCCCAACCACAGAAAGTCTGTAATTAATTTATTTTAACTTTCGTGAGACTGCTTTACACTGGGGAAGCAAGGTTGTGCAGTATAATGAATTGCCTAGAAGAAAATTAAACAGTAACAACTCACTCCTTGCATGACCATCTCTAAATTACAAATTTTTTGTGTACCAAAGTCAACTATATGTATGCCCTCTCTGCAAACTACCAGCAAGTCATACAATTTACAGGCAAGACGAGGTTATACTGAAAAGCCACTAGCTTCCAACAAGGACAGATTGCCTTATTCACCCTTGAATTTGATTGTGATAAGATCTCAATTTCTCTATTGCTTGTCACTCAAGCATTTCACCAACATTGCTATTTGCCTGTACAGACTGTAGAAGAACTACTGCATCCACTACCAAAACAACTACCAGTGGGACAGCAGAATATGACTGTTTAGGTCACATCAATGACTAACAGTATTTTTGTATTTTACTCAAAAAATTACCACCTGCAGAAATAGAGTGCCCCCTATCTCTGTCCAGACTCAAAAGAATTAGCCTAAGAGCCTGCTTCCTTAAACTCCAGCACTTACATTACAAAGGAGAGAGCAAGAGCATTATGTTAACCATACTCTTACCTGTCCTGGGGTCAAACAGCTGGTTGGCCTCCAAGTCTGTGAAAGTGCTGAAGCAAATGGGGCATTTAAAAGAGGCGCGGTTGGTGGAGTCTCTTTCATCTGTCTCAATCCTCCTCCTCATGTGGTCCAGCTTGTACTTCACCACATTAACCAGAAGGCGGTAGTTGATGAAGTAGTAGTTATGACGGGTGGTTTTGCCATCTGGAGCCGTCTCTACCCTCATCCTGCATTTGATGAACTTGTCACCCTTCAGGGTGTTGAGGACAGCCCGCAACTGCTTCCTATCAAACTTAAGGAGCTCTAACATGTCCTCTTCCTTCACACAGGGGTTCCTGATGAGAATGTCCAGAGCCAAAGCATGTTCAATGCCATAAAAGCCACGCACTACGTATTTGGCAAGGCGTTTGAGAGCTGCTGGGACCTCAGTGAGGACGTCTGGGTCAGTCATAGCAGGTTCAGATCTCAAGCTTCATGTATACTGAAATGAAAAAAGGCAGATAGATTTTTAGCTAGTCTTCTGACTCCAAAAATTTTGATTTATCTCACTTAGATCTAAGACAAGGATGGGGTGTTTTTCATTTCTCTCTCACAAGCCCTCTACTGTCTCCTTAAGGTGTTCATAATGCCAATGCTACAGAAATAGAATTAGAACATGGTACCTCTCATTCATAACAAAATGATAGAAAACTTGAAAAAGTGCACAAGAAGTTGGTACCATAACGTAACATACGGTAGATTTCATTTCTACTCAGTCACAGCCAACAGAGTCGGAATAAGAAAGTTCTCTTGAAGCTAAGCTCCAGCAGACAGTTTCATGATCAGTCAAGACTTTTAGCTTGGGAGAAGCAGAAAAAGGCTACAGCAAGAAAGGTCCTAAGACAGCCCAAGAGAGCAAAGGAGTCTTATGGCCCCAGTTGATGTCACTTGACCACATTATAAGTAGCCCTGCCTACTTCTACTCCTCAGACATCACAGGGCAGAGATATTATGTGAGGACAGCTTCCTAGTACAGACCAGTGTGCATTCAAGAAAAAGCTCCCAGCTGCAAAATGAGAACAGATACGACTTCTTCCTTACTTTCTGATAAATAGACCTTAGTCAACTGTCTGCAGAATGAAAACTGTTAGCACTACCAACTCCTACATCACAGACTACTTCAGCCTTGATCATAGATCAGCAAATAAGTCCTTTCAAAGAACTGATCCTCCATTTAAAATGCCTCACATTCAGGTCTTAGAAGCCCAGGGATAATATGGCACGATACATGAAGTAAAAATCAAGACTTAGTGAACATGAAAAGATGATGTGTTAAAAAAAAAGTATTCCATGAGGTATCTTTTGAGTTACTTATCACGACTTACTGTGCCGTCTGTAACAAGACAATAATTAAGAAATACTGTGTTTTCACTTCATTTTTCTTCACCTTAACATCAAATGGCGCAAATGGTCATGACAATTACATGCTTCTGTGGCATACATGGGATCATATATAGGATCATACCATGCAAGGAATTCCTCACATTGTCACCCCTGCCACAGGCATAGCCAAAAACCAAACCCCAGAAGACAACTAACAGCAGTGACCCTTCTGAAGCAGCCAGTTTGGTCCAGCGGAGAGAAAAAGGGAAGCAACTCAATAAGGCAAAGAGTAAAGGTTTACCATCATTTCACAGGGTGGTTTTGCGCATTTTCCCTCCACTCTTTCAAGACTATACAACTGTAGGCAATAACAAAATTCCCTTCCACTCCTAATACACTTGGATTTCCATGTATGAAACGTTCAAGACAAGCATGAAGTATTTATTATAGGTGGTTTTGAAATACTCATTCAGGGGGTTGTACTTCCAGTTAACTTCAAATAAAACTTTCAATAGCCTTTTTCAATAAGACTTCCATGCTGGTTTATGATATGAATAACCATTTCTTAAGCAAAAGGTTCCTTCAACTGAAGGAAAGCCCCACATCTTAAGTTTTGTTTGTTCGAAAATTGCTTAGCAATTTTTATCTGTGAACCAATATCATAAATAGTAAAACTCTGCCATTCTCAATTTTTACTTCCATTAGACGTTTCACACACTCTATACACACCTCCCCAGCATTCCAAGTATCAAATAAAGGAAGGACGACAGTGACAGCAGAAGAAAGGGTCTGCTCTGGATGGGCATCCTATTTTCTTCATCGCTATCATAAAACCTATAATACTGTTTTTGACAAACGTCATTACAGAACTTTTCTATACTCCCCACACTAAGACACCCCCCTGAAATCACCAAGCTCTACATGTAACCAAGCAGCTGATGAGTCACTTCCATCAGCTAAGACTACTCAAAAATCTGTCATCATTTATCACAGTAGCCTGGTTGGATTTTTTTTTTTTTTGTATGAGAAACACTGCCCTCTCAAAACACTTCAAGCAACATTACCCATTGAAGCTTTACTTCTCTCCAACCCTTACCCTCTTCTGCAACCGAGGAGGTATGTTCCTCTCAAGTGTTACGGACAGTGCAACTGCAAAGCAATTAGGCTGTGGATTCTGGAGCTTAACAATAAGTAAATTAAGATTGTCCGGTCTTTTCTGCCTTTTGGGTAAGAAAAGAAAAAACACTTTCATTCTTTTCTTTTAAAATGCTTCTCTGCCTGAGCTTTTCTTTTTCTCTAACTTAGGGCCAAATGGTATTCACAGTGCTCAAACTGAAATGAACTGAACAACATCTGTTGACTGCTGGTCTGCACGCTGAGAATGGCTTACAGAAAACAACGCTTGGATGTCCAGCTTCCCTTCAAGGAAATTAAATTAAAATGTGTTTATCACGGCATGAATTAGCCATGAAACAAGTACTTCTAGAGTCAGTTAGCTTTCTTTTGCATGCCAGATACATAATGATTTATTCTCACACAAAGGACAGTTTTATAGAGCTTTGCATTATAGGTAAAAGTGTTAGCAATAAAGGGCATCCCACCATGAGTCAGAGATTCAAAAATACTATATGGCTAAGTCAGACTCAATCTGAATACCATCACAGGACACTGTCCCTGAAAATCAATTTCATTCTGTTGGTATTTTTACAGTCTTTCAGTCACCTAAAGATATATCTTACTTTTGACTGAGTCTGTCAGCAACATACTGATACTGTAAAACAATGTCAACGCAGAAGCTAGCCAGAAGCCTTTATTTATTCAAATTTATTAACTTTTATTCAGAGTTTAAGCACAGTATAACATTAAAGATTAATTTTAAATAAAACCTGGCAACCCAGAAGAGATTTTAAAAGTTAAGTTTTTAAGTGCTGATCTCAAAAACAAACAACTGCCTTCTCTCCTCACCAATTCACTGTTCCCTAAAAATTCCTTGCAGAAAAACTTAGCAACACAACTTGCAGTGGGCACAGCGACCTTCAGAACAAACAAAAAAAAAAGAAAAGAGAAAAGTGTTTTTAAATAAGTACATCTCACTTTGGATACCTCATCTGAGAGCTGATGGAAAGCATCTTCTCTGCAAGAATCTTATTGAGAAGACAGCTGCGGATTTCCACAGCTGCTTTCAAAACAGATTTAAGGTCAAATTTCCTGAATAATGCACTCAAAGAGATTAAACTGAGACCTATAAGGGACCAATAAATAAAACCACCTCTAAGAGTACATATTCTTCCCTTGGGTTTCAGCAATAGTTAGAGATTTAGTAATATTTCTTAGTGTCAATCACTAGAAAATAGTTTTTTTCATCTAGTGGGACCAGGAGTTTTTACACAATTATTTCTTCTCCTCTACCGGAGACTTTTTGTGATGTCCAAACCTTCTATAACCTCAGGTAATGGTGGGCATCTTGAGTGTAACACTGGTTTTGTTCCATATGTGGATATATGGAAATATAAGCATTCTGAAAACACCACAAACCATTCTTCCCTACTAATCTCCATTTCAAAAAGTTGATTAACAAGGATTAAATTCTAAATGCTGCAGAAAACAGCCTTTGGGTGAGACAGACAATTGACTAGTGTCAGATTTAAGGAAAAAAAAGAGAAAGCAAGCCACCAAAGAACACCTTCATCAAATTTTCCTACATGAAGGTAAACAATGCTGAACACAACTAACTTAGCTCTGAAAATAAGCATGGACACACGTTCAGCAAACACCAGTTTTTATATTACATTGAGGACTAATGCCAACAAAGACTCAAAGAAGATCTGTACGGTTGGATGAAGGACATATTTTGCAAGATCATTCTTGATAATCACATTCTCAAGTTAGGTGATACAGAACAAAAACATGAGAGAGCACACACACCACTGCCAGAACTGATCAGGCCAGGATCTAACAAATTGTTTCTGAAGGAAAAGCTGACATCTGGCCGCCCTGCCATGAAGAATCTCAGGCTAACGCATATGAGCTCCAAATCCTTACTACCTTTTGCCAGGTCAGAACGACAGTGAACCAGCTCACAATGGTAATCCACTGCCACAAGAACATCAGTTTAAAATTCAAAAGTATGAGACTTTACCATTGCATCCTTGAGCAGTGATTTCACCTTCCATCAAAGCAGTAAGTCAAACCTGAATTAATTACGTGTGCAAAGAAATATGATAACGTCTCCTAACAAAGTTTTAATGGACATGCATCTGTTTCATGATAATGTCTGTACCAACCTTAATAAGGTATGAACATCAAGGGACATTGTCAGGGAAAAAAAAACAAAAGAAAAATAATGGTCAAGATGAACAACTATGCAGTAAGCACCTACAGCACCAACAATAAAGCACACTGGACAGGATGATATTCAGAAAAATCCAAACGAAAAATTTCAAAATTTAAATATGGGCTTTACTAAGAGACAGCTGTTGGGGAATTGTTCTGGGTAATTACATGAATACAGTTCAGTATCATGGGTATCGCAGGAATGTTCAGGCTTGCTGTCCTATGTTATCATAGTAGGACAGCAACCCTAAATAGACAACTGGTTTTTACAAAAATTTCTCTAAACATAAGAATAAATATTGACATGGCTATAAAAGACCACATTGGGAAAAAAACCTAAAGTTACACTGTGCAACCAGTTTTGTTGGGTTAAGAAAAATCAGGGTACAGTCTGCAAAATGGTCTCATACCTCAGGTTGAATAAAGTGTATGAGGTGTAGGTCTTAAACATAACTAAACATGTCAGAAAGGAAACTGAGATGAGAGCAAGTGACTGCAAAAAAGCGCTCAGTATGATGGCACCAGAGGCCACACAGAAGCCAGAAGTTCAACTGAGCCAGCATCCCCACTGGTCAGGACTTTTCTGATGCAACAAAGGAAATGAACTCTTCTTCTCTATGTACAAAGATTTAAAGAATTCTTTTGCAAACTCTTTACAGGAATCGGGCTAAGGATGTTGGATCTGTTCTTCCTGCTTTTCCTGACTAAGGCTGAGACAAAAGATGACCAGTGCTAAAAAGGCGATACCTAGAAGCCACAATACAGATTCAACTAGAACTACAA